GGAGGGGTAAACCCCTCCCCGGAGGGGAAGAAGGGGGGTTGAGGACAGAGAGAGCTCCCTAAACCACTCACGCCCAAAGGGCTGGTGGGACTACTATTACGACGACTACTACTACGACTATACAGATTACTACGACGATTATTACGACGACTACTACTACGACCACTACTACTACTTCAACTATTACCACTACTACGTCTACTACTACTACTACAACAACAACAACTACTACTACTACTACTACTACTACTACGACTACTACTACTACTACTACTACTACTGCTATTACTACTACTAGTAGTACTACTACTACTACTACTACTACTACTACTACTACTACTACTACTACTAGTCATACTAGTCATACTACTAATACGACGGCCTCTACTACTACTACTACTACTACTACTAATACCACTACTACTACTACTACGACTACTACTACTACTACTACTACTACTACTACTACTACTACTACGACTACTATGGCGATTCATATTATTACGACTACTACTACGACTGCACTACACCGCCACTTCTACTACGACTACTACTACGACTAGTACTACTATAATACATGCCACACTACTACCACTACTAGTACACGTATTACTACTACTACTACTACTACTACTACTACTACTACGACTACTACTACTACTACTACTACTACTACTGCTAGTATTACTACTACTCCTACCACCGATACTACTTTTACAACTATTGCGACTACCACTACTACTACTACTACTACTACTACTACTACTACTACTACGACTACTACTACTACTACTACTACTACTACTACTACTACTACTACTACTACTACTACGACTACTACTACAACTATTACTACTGCTACTACTATTACTACTACTACTACTACTACTACTACTACTACTACTGCTACTACTACTACTACTACTACTAATACTAATACTACTACCACTACTACTACGACTACTACTACTACTTTTACCACTACTACCACTACTACTATTACTACTACTACTACTACTACGACTACGGCTACTACTACCACTACTACTAGCATTCGTACTACTGCTACGACTACCCCCGTTATTACTACTCGTGTTACTACTAGTATTGCTACCACTACTACTACTACTACTACTACTACGAGTACTAGTACTACTCCTACTACTACTACTACTACTACCACTATTACTACTACGACTAGTACTACTAGTACTACTACTACTACTGCTACTACTACTACTTTCACTACTACTACTACTGCTACTACTACTACTACTACTACTACTACTACTACTATTACTTACTAGTAGTATTACTACTACTACTACTACTACTAATAATAATAATGATACTACCCTTTCTACGACGACGACGACGAGTACTACTACTACGACGACTACTTCTACTACTACTACCGCTGCTACTACTACTACCACTACTACTATTACTACTACTACTACTACTACTACCACTACTACTACTTTTACTCCTACTACTACTACTACTACGAATACAACGAATACTACGAATAATACTTCTGCGACTACCGCTACGACTGAGACTACTACGACTATTACGACTACTCTTTGTACAACAACTATGCTACTACAACTACTTTTACGATGAGACGGTTACTACAATTACGATGCTACAGCTACAACTGCAACTACGGCTGAGACTACCATTGCTACTACAACTACGACCACGACGGCTACGACTACGACTACGACACAGTTTACTACGACTAGTACACCTGCTACTACGACTACTACTACTACGACGACGACCACGACGACGACGACTACTACTACTACTACTACTACTACTACGTCTACGACTACAACTATGAGTACTACTTCTGCTACTCCTACTAGTTCCACGACTACTACGATTACGATTGCTACGACCAGTAATTTCATTTTTCGACTACTGGTGACGACGACGGCGACGACGACGACTACGACGACAACGACGACGACGATGACGACGACGACGATGGCGGCGGCGGCGAAGACGACTACGACGACGACGATCTTGATCGCAGTGCCACTAGAGACACGCCGGTGCAAGGATCAATATTAGAAGGCGAAGCGCAGCGAGCCTTAAAATCTTGTGTGTGTACATATATATATATGTATACAGAGGGAGCACCAACATGGGTTCAGGAGCAGTGTAGGGTCTGGGATATGTTTAAAGTCCTTGCCGCGGCCTCTGCGCTGCAGTGGGATGAATGGCCACATGCAACATGACCCGCTTGGGAGAGCGCCCTCAAATTGTTGGGTCAGATCAAACAGCACCACAGTACCATCTGGAAGAGCAAGGCTTTCGTCTGTCACGGGGACGTCCTCCATACCCCCCCCCCGTTTTCAAAGGAGGCACGCGGGGCTCCATCGTCGGCGACGGCAGTGCTCCGTCGGACCATCGGCTCTCCGATGAGCCTGGCTATGTCCTCTAGGGCCGCTGCGCGCGCTTGCGCTCGGAGGAGGCGTGCGTCGACTTTTGCTTCGACGCGCCTAACGACCCGTCGCGTTGCTCAGCGGCAAGAATCCCCTGCCCGACCAATGCCGCCGTCGACAAGTTCAACAACATCATCCTCGACAAGCTGACCAGCGTCTACCTGTTGCCCCGGTACCGCACGGCGATCGCGAACAGCCTCAAGTACGATCACCGCGCGCAGAACATCGAAGCGCACATCACGACAGAGTTTCTGAACCTGCAGAACGAAAACGGGGTGCCGCTTCATTATTTGCGATTGGTGGTTGGCGCCGTATAATACCAGTTGGTCCGTAACTTCATGCCCGACAGGCTCATGAACCACACCCACTTTATGGCGCGCGCGGTGCGCGACAACCACGTCGCGATAGAAACTTTAGAGGGGAACCGGCTTCCGTTCCCAAGCGTCTGTTTCAGGTGGCCGCTGGCGCGAGGCACGAGCAACACCATCCGACGCCAGTGCCCGCTGCGGCCTGCTTATGCTGTCACTTTCAACGCTGCGCAAGGCTCCACTCTCTTAAAATGTGCATTCGGTTCCAGAAGCAATATGGGCATCTCTTTGTCGCCCTGAGTCGCGTGCATGATAATCTGATAGGGGACCCCTGCGTTTCCGCACGGGTTTTGACCGATGTAACGCCAGCGGCAGTGAACTGACAAAGAGCATCGTTTGGAAGGAGCCCTTGCTCCCTAATAACAGCCCGCAGCGCCCTACACCCGTATGCCGCAAGCGGCCAGCATCAGCACCGCCGCGTCAGAGGGGCCTCTCGTCGCCACTGAAGAGGTCCAAGTGGCGTGGAACGAGATCGTAAATTGGACCCACTGTTGATCAGGCCTGCACGAGGAGGGCGACGACGACGACGGCGACATACAACGACTACGACAACATACGACGACAAACGACGACATACGACGACATATGACGACATATGACGACGACTACGACTAAGACGACGACACCAACGACGACGACGACGATGACGACGACGACGACGACGGCGGCGGCGGCGACGACGACGACGATTTTGACCGCAGCGTCAAAAGAGACGTCGGTGCAAGGATCAAGATTAGAAGGCGAAGCGCAACGATCCTTAACATGCTGTGTATATACAGATATGTGGGTTCCCATATATCTACATACTTATTGTGCTTACGCAAACCATGTATGTATAGGTGTCAGCATGAATGCATATGTATTATATATAGATGTCTCTCTCGAGAGAGAGGGAGGGACAGAGAAATAAACAGACAGAGGGAGAGAGAGAGAGAGACAGAGAGCGAGGCAGAGATCAAGAGAGAGAAGGCGAGAGAGAGAGAGAGCACAACAAACACATAGAGGGGGGAGGGAGGGAGGCGGGAGGCAGAGAGAGAGAAAGACATACGATACCTGAGGAAAGCCCCAACCACAGTCTTATTTTGGACTATGAGGCTACGGGGCTAGTAGGCTATAGGACGATTGGGCTATGGGGCGTTATGGCTATGGAACTATAGGACTATAGGGCTCTAGGACGATAGAACTATAGGGCCAGAGGGCTATAGGGCGATAGGGCTATGGGGCTATAGGGCCACACGGCTACGAGGCTGTATAGCTATGGGGCTATAGTGCTATAGGGCATAGGTCTGTTGGTGCTATATAGATACAGGGCTATGGGGCTATCAGGCTATAGGGCTATGGGGCGATAGGGCTGTAGGGCTATACTGTTATAGGGCTGCAGGGCTATATGGCTATGGGGCTATATAGGGCGATTGGGCTTTAGGGCTATCGGGCGATCGGGCTATAGGGCTATAGGGCTGTAGAGATGGGGGTTCGGGGCGATAGGGCTATAGGGGCGAGAAGGCTGTAAGGCTGTATGGTTATAGGGCTAGCGGGCTGTAGGGCTATGGGGATATGGGGCTATAGGGCTATAGTGCCAGAGGGCTATGAGTCTATAGGGCTATGGGCTATAGGGCCATAGGGCGATGGGCTATATGGATATGGGGCTATAGTGCTATAGGGCTATAGGCATACATAGAGCTATAGGGCTATGTGGCCATAAGGCTATAAGGCTATAGGGCTGTAGGGCGTTCGGGCTACTGGGCCTTTGGGCTATTGGGCTATAGGGCTATAAGGGTATAGGGCTACAGGGCTATAGGGCTGTAGGGCTATAAGGCACCTGGGCGGGCCGCGGAAATCGGTAGCAAACCTCACGAAACCATATGAATCCGCTAGGACCCCCATAGAAGACAACGAACGAGAGGGGATATACATAACAGGTGAGCAGGATCAGAGTTTCAGCGCAAGGGGAAAGATGGGCAGCACTAGGCAGAGGACGAGAAGAGAAACAAGGAGCAGGAAAATCAGAGAGAGGGAGGAGGGAGGGAGGGAGAGGGAGAATTAGGAGGAGCAGGAGTAGAAGGGCAGAGGGAGGGGATGGGCAGGACGAGGAGGGAGGTGAAGGAAGGCGGGGAAGATATGAGGAGAAGGAGGGGGGGTGGGACTGTGAGGAGGAGAGGCAGCAAGGAAGTCCGAGGCCCTCTGGGAGCCGTTCAACACGAAAAACGCCTTGCACCAGCCCCCCGAGCGATGCTGGGTGGAGAGCCGCGCCCCAATGGGCGGGGGGCCCGCCGAGAAGCTGGCGGGCCTCCAGGCCTTCCTCAGGCGCGCGCACCCCGCTCCCTCCCCAGGCCTGCCCCGTCCTTCCCCTCCCGGCCTCCCCCCCCCGCCGCCCTCCTCTCCCTCCCTTCTCCCTTCTCCCTGCGCCCGCCCGCCTCCCTCTCCGCCGCCTCTCTGGCCCCTCCTACCGTCCCCCTGCTCCTCCTGCTCCTCCTGCTCCTCCTCCTGCTCCTCCTCCTCCTCCTCCTCCTCCTCCTCCTCCTCCGGCACCGACTTCAGCACCGACGCTGGCACCGACTGGCACCGACGCCAACAGTAGAGGCGACGACGCCGTCTCCAGCGTTGACGCCGACAACATCGCCGCCAGCACCGACGTTGGCACTGACGCAAGCAACCTCGATGCTGGCATGAACCTGGGCACCGACGCCCGCAGCATTGACGCCTTCACCGACGCTGGCATCGACTCCGGTACCTACGCCAGCAGCAGCATGGCATCGACGCCGACACCGATTCCGGCATTGACACCAGCAGCATCGACGCTAGCACTGACGCCAACCGCGGTGCCGGCAGCTTCGACCCCAAAAGCATCAACGGCAGCACCGACGATGGCATTGACGCCAGTAGCACCGACTCCTGCACCGACTCCAGCAGCACCGACGCTGGCACCGACTCTGGGCATGGTGGCGCAACACATCCCCGACAGCCTCCCTGGTCGGTCAGCATCGACTGGTCCACCATCGTGCTGCGTGCATCCGCAGGGCCACCAGCAGCGTGGGGGAGGATGCAGTTTCACCGCTGGGCCCGACGCATGCAGCGGCTCCGGGCCAGACGCATGCGCCGAGTCTTCGTCCGACGCTGGCGCCGATGCTCGGTGAACCTCTCGACTTCGTCGAGCACCGCGTCGGTAGCCGACACCACTTGAGCACTGCCAAGCATCTGCCACGACGGACTCGAGCACCACGTCGCTATCCAGCTCTGCGGAGGCGAGTCGGAATGACTGCCCACATGTCCGTCCCAGACTGGGCAGTATACCGCCAGCAGCCACATCAGTGTGTCCAGAAACGCCAGTACTATCAGTACGGCGGGGCCTGGCAGAACTTGCAGCAGTTGCTCCAGCGCATCCAGCCACACCATCACTTCCAGCTCGGCGGGTCGGGGCAGTTTCGTCAGCGGCTGCACCAGCGCAGCCAGCAGCACCAATATTGCGAATTCGACATCTTGAGCTGGCTATTTCTGGTTTGTTGCGCCTGTCCGCGTCTGCATTGGAACATGTATCAGAATAGATGCCTGCATTTCCGCCCACCAGTACAGTCGGACCTGGCAGCACTAGCACCCGCATCCCCGGCACCCAGCAGTAACACCATTTCCAGCAAGACGGGACGTGGCAGTTCCGTCGGCAGCCACACCAATGCATCTAGCAGCATCAATACTTCCAGGTCTCGACCGGGCCTGGCGGTCCGTCAGTAGCTAGATCAGCGCATCCAGCAGCAGCAGCCCTGGCGCATCCTGAACGACTTGGCGCGACAGTGCCATCGGCAGTCGCACCAGCGCACCCAGCAGCATCAATACGTCCAGCTCGCGAGGACCTGTGCAGTACCGCACCGCTACCTCAAGGCCGACGCTCTGAATGAATGGGCTGGCGCGGGCTCCCTCTGTCTCCGCCTTTCTCCTCCCCTCTTGCCCATTTGTTAGTTCTATTGCATGCGAGGTGCTTCGGTGGGGTCTTTCCCTGCGCGCTTGTTCGGCCCCTCCTCGGCCGTGGTCAGTCGACCCTGGGCCTCACCGCCGCGGACTTGGATTTCTGCCGCCCCGGGAGTGTCCGGCAACAGCGGGCACTGCGGTGCCTCCTATCGCCGACCACCCGCCAAGTCAGTGCTTGTTTGTAGAGGCCGCTGCCTGCATCCACTCACATACTGTCTGCGCGTGGAGCCTACTGGCTGTGAGTGTGCTTATGTCCCTTTGCCGTTCTAACTCTCTCTCTCTTTCTCTTGCTCTCTCTCTGTCTCTCTCTCTCTCTCTTCCGTTATTTCTCTCTCTCTCTCTCTCAAACATTACTATCACGTTTGTCAGCGATTACGTGACCCCCCCTTCCGATGAATTAATAAATCACCCAGCACCCTGAAGCGTTACCCTGGCACCCTAGGGAGGAGGAGGAGGAGGAGGAGTGGGCACAACTATTTATGTTTGCAGCTTGTTGCGGTGCTACTTATTTATTTATGATAAGTCCGCTCCCGCGCAACATTTACTTATGTTTCGGTGGTAGCGATAACACAGGAAGGGTCCTTAATCGCTGACTGAGGTTACTTACATATCCCTCTCTCGTTTCCCTGTTGTGGCGTTTTCGCGATTGGGGCATATTCCTGCCAGTGGTCGCTGTGCTACGGTTCCTCGATTTCTGATGTGTGGTGCTCGGTTATATGAATGACGTTCTGGATCATCCGAGGACGCCCGCACAACGGCTTAATGCATTTGCAGTGGCATCGTTGTAATGCTGTTGTTCCTCTTCCTCTTGCTCCTCCTCTTCTTCGTCTTTCTCTCCACACTCCCGTGCTTTTGTGTTTGATTCACGGCAGTGGTCAGTTGGGCAATGCGGCAGGGGTTGCGACACAATGTTGACAATTGTGGCCCGATACGTTTTGTGGGCAACTTCGTATCAGCCGCCATCTACTTTCCTGCTCCGCGAGTTCCCCGTGCCCAGGTCTGTTCCCAGTTTTTGCCTTCGTTGCTTTGCGGTCGGCCTCGCTCGCGCTGTGCGTTCGGTGTAGCCCCATTGAGGGGCAGCGGATTCCTGCTTCTCCTCCTCTTGATTGCCGGAAGAAAAACCTGGTAAATCCTCCTTTGTTGCTTCCTCCTCAGTATCCTTTCTGCCCCCTCCTCATTCTTACCCCATCCCATTCCTCCAACGCCAGATCGTTCCCTCCCTTCCCCCCCGCCCTCCTCCTTCACTTCTTGCAGTATCCCTCTGCCCCTTGCCCTTCTCGTCGTCTCTCGCCCTTGTCGTCGTCTTCCTCTTCGCCCTCCCCGCCGTGCTCCTCAATATCTGACTCCCCCTCCTCGTCATTTCCTTCGAATAACACATCCCCGTCGCACCCGCAGACGTGTCGGCAGGGCGTGCCACGTGTTTGGGTTGAGACTTCCTCCTAATGTTTGATCCTGCAGGCCGAAGATTGCAACAGCTTCAAGGAAGGCGGGCGGGTCGTTTCCCAATTGTTGCTCTCGCCTCAGTGCCGCGCGCACTCGTCTTAAAAGTTCGCAGCACCTTCAATGATGGAAGGCGCTCCTTTCAAAATGTCGCTCTCGCCATTCGCGCCGCGGGCACTCATTTTACAAGTTCGCAACAATTCCAAGCGTTCATATGGTAGAAGTCCCAGGAATGGTGTTATGGTGCGACTTAGGCATGTCAGAACGCAACAGTCACATTGATCTGCAGTGCTGAAAACACTGGAGTGACTGTCCTGCGCGATTTCGAAATGTCAGGGTGCAGCAGTTACGTTGATTCGCGGCGCTGAATTCCCAGGAGTGGTGTTTTGGCGCGATTGAGGGTTCTCCGACGATTGTCATCCAATGGGGCACATCTTGGAATCAGAATACTTTGTCGCGACGTGCGAAGAGGGAGATCTGACGGAGGGTTTATTGTAATGTCGTTGGTGCGTCTTGGGTTTACACTGGCCCTCCTCCTCTTCACCGTCCTCCTTGCCTTCCTTCTCTTGCACCTCCTTGTTGCGCCTGTCCCTGCCTTTCTTGTTCCATCCTCAGGCTCGCGTCCGGTGGCGGAACGACCTTTATGGACAAGGGGCACCGGTTCGCCGCAAAGAGGTACCAGGGGCAGGGAGGGCCCCTGCCAGGCTCCGCCCGCCGATCCACCCTCCACGCCCCTCCCCGGCGGAGGAGGACGGCCGCGGCGAGGAGACAGATACCCGCCCTGGCTCCCCGCCCGCCCCTGCCAAGAGATCCAACGCATTGAAAAAATCACGACGGAGGTTTTTCACTATTTTCGGCCTCCAGGGGCCTTCGCCGGGCCCCGGGACCATGAAAAAACGACTCAGGAGGAAGAGCCGGTCCTGGGGAATGGGTCGAGACTTCCGGGGACCCCGTATTGAGCAAATCACGACATCGGATCTCTGGGTGAGCGCCCCTCTCTGTTCCCCCCTCCGCTTCCTTCTTCCGCCCCCTCCCCCTCCCCAGCTCCCCCTCCCCACGCTCCCGTGCGCCGCTCCCCCCCGCCAGCGGGAGGGAGGTCGTCGAATCCGGACATCCGGCGTGTGGCGTTTCTCTGTACAGCCGGACCTAGATAGAGGGTCGAGGTCCGTTCGGGAAGGGTGCCGGCATGTTCTTCGCGTCTGTTAGACGTTCTTCTGCAGCTTGGGGAGGGTCTTCTTGGATGTCTGATGTGTTCTGGCCAGCGGAGTGCCTTATCTTCGCGAAGGCTGTGTTGCTGTCCTCGGCCCGGCTGTACGAAGCCCCTGGAAGGCCTCACCTTTTCCCCAACGGCCGGCCTTTCCTTCGGAGTCGTTTTTTTGTGACGGTCCTGGGGCCTCGCGAGGGCCCCGATGGGTGCCGAACACGGTGAACAAACGATGTACTGTGTTTCTTGTTCCAGGCGGGCTTCGTGAGACTGATGGGTGCAGCGAGGACCCCGACAAGGTTCAAGCAGTGGGCAGCGTCCTGGCTCGCCTATAGGCCTGCCAAGCAATGTTCTAAGAACAGTTTGTGGTCTCCTCGAAACGTTCTTAGAGCATTTTTGGCTGGGGGTGCCCTGTCTCAACACATCGGCTTTACGTTTTAGGAACATTATTTTTGTTCTTAGAATATTGTTGGGCTCTGAGATCATGTCGTGGTAGGCCTATAGGAATGCCGGGGCGGTCGGTCCCTGCTCAAAAGGTACCCGCAAGCAAGGGGTGTCGGGCCGATTATTGGTGATTGGTTCCGGGCCGATTTCAATGGCTTCTGGGTACCCGGGTTCCCGGTCGATCTCTGTTTATCAGAAAACCATCCACCGATTGGAGTCTTTCTTTGGTGTCATCTGTTCCAGGCGGGCTTCGTGAGACTGATGGGTTCGGTATCGTTTAACCGATCCCCATCCCCACTCCCATCCCCTTCGAGACCCCACCATATTACCCCCCCAGTTGGGGATCAGCCCCTCGAAACCCGAAGGGAACGGCCTATATCCCCATCTAGGGGGGTAAAATCGGGCAGTGGGGCCCAGGCCACACCGCTGGGGATGGGGATCGGTTAAACGATACTCATGGGTGCAGCGAGGATCCCGACAAGGTACCCGCACGCAGGGGTGCCGGAGGGGGCGGAGAGCGTCGGCGAAGCCGGCGCGGAGTGCTACGCCGCGGAGGCGCAGCACATCGACCGGCTGCAGCGCTGTCCTGACAACGCCCAGCCAGAGGAGGGGGAGGCCAAGCTCTACGGCGAGCCGACCCACTTCACCCTGGTCGTCGGGGGCAACGCTAGAGGAGGAGAGCCCAGGCTCAGGGGGGATGCATCGACCTCCAATCGGTCGCTGATCGCTGAGAGGGGCCCGATAGTCAGGCGATCGCAAACATGGATCAAGTGGGCGTGGATTGACGGGTCCCGTTTCCATGGGAAATCGCGGATTTCCGCCGCCGAGCGAGGCGGCACCGGCCGAATTTTGGGGAGGGCACCTCCCCCGATCCATGGATTTGGCGACCGCGCGCCAAATCCATGGATCGCTAATCCATGTTTGCGCGCCCCCGACTAGAGGAGGTTAGCCCTGGCTCAGTGGGCGATGCATCGACCTCCAATCGCCCATTGATCGCCGAGAGGGGCCCGATGGCCCACCCCGCCCAGGAACGTTCGGGTTCGCTCTCAGGGGCCTGCCGCCGATCTATCGGCAACGTATCGTCGATAGCCGTTCGATGGTTTCCCCATGAGCTGGTCCCCCTCAGTGGTCCTCATCGCATGGTTTTTGGGTCATGGCTCGGATCCCTGGTGGTCGTTCGAGACGATCCGGGAACCCTCAGAACGCTCTCGGCGAGGCGCGTTTGCTGGAAAGCATCCCGAGGTTGGACACCCGCCGAGAAGCAACGATGGGGTCGGAGGGTCGCGCCATTTCGGCGATGCATCACCGGTACATCGGAGCTGCATCTGCGAGGTCGGCGTGGGGAAAATCGTTCTCGTCACTGAGCCGCATCGCCGATTCATCGGCGATGCGACGCGATCCTCCGACCCCATCCTCCTACTCCGACCCAAACTGGGAGGCCTGGATCTCGTCGCGAGCAAAATATCGACGGCCAGTTTTCCTGGCATCCGAGAACCTGGAACCTCAAGCATCGAACCCTAAGCCAGGTACTCCAAAACTCTATTAATCCCCCCCCCTAAAAAACTTGACCCCCCTCCAAATTCGACCTGATATTCCGGACCCCCCTCTTCGAAGGGGCGCCTCAACAAACGGGACCCCCTAAGCGCCTTAATAAACCGCTGCCCCCAGTTACCAAAAAGGCGCCTTAAAATATCGGACCAGGGGGACAATGAATAAGGGATTTTGAATACTTCCAAACTGATTTCCTCGCCGAAGCCATGAGATAGAAACGTGTGTGCAGTGTTCGTGGAACGAGCGTTCTACGATGTATTCAATGACTCGTTTTCGCCCCGAAGCCGTGAGACAAGAAGCACGTTCGCAGAATGCTCGCAGAGCGAGTGTTCTACGTTGTACTCAGGGGTGCGATGAGAAAATCAATATGGGGGTACAGTGGAGACCCATGCCAAGAAACACCCTGCTTGCCTCCAGGGTGCCCTTGGTTTCTCGGGATTCGACGATGGTTCTGCCATGGGAAGCGTGTCGCTCCCACACCAAAAATCAAGGGACGTCCTGGGGTCCAGGGTTGGGTTCCTTGCGGAAGGTTTCTTGTGGTCGCGCCCCCTCTGTACATCGATTTTGCTGCCGACCCCATACGGTCGAGACTGATTATAATAGGTCGACCCTGCCAGATCGAGGGTATTGAGCTTCGCGACCCATACCTTCCTACACTCATATGGCAATGTGAACCTCGGAGGGGTCTTGTGGCCTCCGTTGTGTCCTCCCCAATGGGAGGAGGGGGGAGCAAGGAGGGAGGAGGAGGGGAGGGGGGAGGAGGAGGGAGGGGGGGGGGGAGGAGGAGGGGAGGAGGAGGAGGAGGAGGAGGAGGAGGAAGAAGGGATTTGGAGTACCCTCAGGTCGTCGGCTTCGACGACGCCACGGGCGGCACCTTCTTCCCGCACGGCAGGCTGCTCCCTGGGCTGGCGGCGCGGCCGGAGGGCGTGTCGCAGGGGACGCGGGGGGGCATCTCGGGCAGTGCCGAGGGGGGTCGCCAATCAGGACGAAGTCGGGTCTGTCCTCCTCCTCCGTCCTCCTCCTCCTCCCTCCTCCTCCTCTCTCCTCCTCCTCCTCCCCCTCCCCCTCCCCCTCCCCCTCCCCTCCCCCCCTCCCCCTCCTCCTCCTCTCCTCCTCCTCCTCCTCCTCTCTCCTCCTCCCTCCTGCCTCCTCCTCCTCCTCCTCCTCCTCCTCCTCCCCCCCCCCGGCTGCCAGCTTGGTCCTCGGAAGGCGGTTCGCAGCCATCTTCACTTGTAACCCAGACCCCCTCGAGCCATGAAGAAATCACGACGGGAGGGTTTCCCTATTTTCGGCCTCCGGGGGACCTCGCCGGGCCTCGGGACCGTCAGAAAACGACTCGGGACGAAAGACCGGTCCCAGGGAGTGGGTCCGGACTTCTGGGGGTTGCGTCATGGCAAAGTCATGACGTCGGGGTCTGGGTCTACTACAGGGGGAACCTTCAAAAGAGGAAAAAGACAGTCTGGGCACGCTTTTGTTCAGTAGGTGCAACCATTGTGGGGAATTCCTTGGCTCTTTTTTGAATTCGTCCTCCCAAATCCCTCTGTACGAGGACAGGCGACAGGCCCGACTAAAATCCGGATCAGAGGAAGGCGGGTTGAGATAACGGTAGCTGGCCTCCGGGAGGGGGCCCTTGTTGCAACGGCTGGGCGCGGGTCGGATGATTCGTGTATTGGACCCCAAGTACAGTGGGGGCCCATGCCGAGAGGCACCCCGCTTGCCTCCAGGGTGCCCTGGGTTTCTTGGGTTTCGATGGTTTTGCTCCAGACCAAAAACCAAGGGACGCCCTGGGGTCTCACGGTGGGGTTTCTTGTGCAAGGCTTTGTTGTGGACGGGCCTCTCCTGTAGAGGGGTCTCGCCTTGCTCTGAGGGGAGGTCGCCGGTTCCCCCCGAGGATCGAAGCTCGAGGCAGTTTCTCGGGAGCGCTCGAGGCCGTTCTGGCGGGCTCCTGGGTGACCTCTGGGGGCCCATGGCGCTTCCCCCAAGTCGGGCAGGCCTCCCCCCTCCCCCTACAGGAGGAATATCGAAACATAGTTTAGGACATAGTCTGTGGGGGCGATTCTTATTTTTCTATTGTTATTGATGATGTTTGAACATGTTTTGACTATTTGCCGTTTTTCTTCCTAAATCCTCCTGTAGGAGGACATGCCCGACCCAACGCTTCTTAGAGGAACCGGCGGCCCCCAGTGGTGGCTCCCTTTGGCGCTGCCCGGGCATCCTGGTCCAGAGCATGCGCGGACGGGCCCTCCTCTGGAGCAATCACCGGGGCTCCGTGGACCCGGCCAGCGGCAAGGCTCGAATCACCGGGATCGGCTACAGAATTGGTTTGCTTAAGATTTGCTGGTCTACGGATGTACTCCAAATCCCTTGTTGATCGACACCCCCCGAAACGAAACAGACTCCCCTCCAAATGCGACCTAATATTCCAGACCCCCTCTTCGAAGGGGCGCCTGAATAAACGGCACCCCCTAAGTTCCAATCCAAAGAAATCGCCCTAATAAACCGGACCCCCCCAGTTACAAAAAAGGCGCCTTAAAACCCAGACCAGGGGGACAATGAATAAGGGATTTGGAGTGCTTCCAAACTGATTTCCTCGCCGAAGCCATGAGACAGAAACATGTGTACAATGTTCGTAGAACGAGCGTTCCACGTTGTATTCAATGACTCGTTTTCGCCCCGAAGCCGTGAGACAAGAAAAACGTTCGCAGAATGCTCGCAGAGCGAGTGTTCTACGTTGTATTTACTCATGGGTTCGAAGAGAAAATCAATATGGGGGTACAGTGGAGACCCATGCCAAGAAACACCCTGCTTGCCTCCAGGGTGCCCTTGGTTTTTCGGGGTTCGATGGTTCTGCCATGGGAAGCGTGCCGCTCCCACATCAAAAATCAAGGGACGTCCTGGGGTTGAGGGTTGGGTTCCTTGTGGAAGGTTTCTTGTGGTCGCGCCCCCTCTGTACATCGATTATGCTGTCGACCCCCCACGCCCGAGACTGATTATGATAGGTCGACCCTGCCAGATCGAGGGTGCCCTTGTGTCCTGAGCTTCGCGACCCATACCGTCCTACATTCCTATGGCAATGTGGCCCTCGAGAGGGTCTTGTGTACTCTCGCGTGTCCCCTCCGATGGGAGGAGGGGGAGGGAGGAGGGAGGGGAGAGAGAGAGAGGAGGGAGGAGGGCGGGGGGAGGGGAGGAGGAGGAGGAGGAGGAGGAGGTGGAGGAGGAGGTGGAGGAGGAGGAGGAGGAGGAGGAGGAGGAGGAGGAGGAGGAGGAGAGGAGGAGGAGGAGGAGGAGGAGGAGGAGGAGGCGGATGAGAAGAAGGAGTAGTAGGAGGAGGAGGAGGGGAGGAGGAGGAGAGGGGAGGAGGAGGAGGAGGGAATTGGAGAGGTGGAGGAGGAGAAGGAGGAGGAGGAGGAGGGATGATGATGATGATGATGATGATGATGAGGAGGAGGAGGAGGAGGAGGAGGAGGGAGGAGGAGGAGGAGGAGGAGGAGGAGGAGGAGGAGGAGGAGGAGGGGAGGAGGGGGAGGAGGAGGAGGAGGGAGGAGGAGGAGGAGGAGGAGAGGAGAGGAGGAGGAGGAGGAGGAGGGGAGGAGGAGGAGGAGGAGGAGGAGGAGGAGGAGGAGGAGGAGGAGGGAGGAGGGAGGAGGAGGAGGAGGAGGAGGAGGAGGAGGAGGTCATTCCCTTGATGGCAGCCGCTTCCATCATTGGGCATCCTCTTCGGCGGACTCCGACTACGCGAAGCACCTCGCCATCGCGGCCGGTTCGCCAGCGGCCAGGCGCCGGATTTTGTGTACCGATGCGCACGAGCGGGGCGCTTGCTCATCCTCCGCAAGAGCGACGGCGGCATCCGCCCCTTGGTCATCAACGCCGCGCTCCGGCGCATTGCACTCCGAGCGGTGATCAAGGTGTTGACCCCCCGTGCCACAGCGCATGTGGGTGAGGAGCAGTACGCCATTGGCAGGTCGGGCCCCGTCGAGTCGATCACCCACGGCATCCAGGCAGACGTGCTCCAGGACAGCGAACGAGTTGCAGCTTCCCTTGGCATCAAAAATACTTTCGGCTCCATGAGCCGTGGTGTCATGGCCGACGATGTCGTCACTGCGTTCCCGGAGCTGGCGGACCTCATGTCCGCCTTGTACTGCACGGACACGCCCTTGATGTGGGAGGATGGCGACGGGGAGGTTCAGACCATCACCGAGCAGACCGGCATGGACCAGGGGTGCCCTTTCTCGCTGCTCGCCTTCGTGGTCGGCCTCAAGCGGGTCCTCAACCGAGCACGCGCCCTCCTACGTGACGCTGGCCTCGACGGTGGTGTCCGCTTCCGGGTTTACGTCGACGACGTATATGTCACATGCGCCGCTTCGCGCCTCCCCGCGCTCCTCGCAGCCTTTCGCCAGGCCTTGGCCGAGTCCGGCATGACGCTCAACGAGTCCAAGCTGAAGCTGTGGGGCGTCGAGCGCAACATTCTGCCGATGGACCTCCAGCAGTACCACGTGGAGACGCTCCAGGTCTTGGGGCGCGCCGTCGAGCGATCCAGCGGGCAGATGCACACGTTGTGGCTTGGGGACTCTGGCGGGTCCTTCGCTTCGGTCACGGCCACCCTCAGAGCCAACCTCGACCGGCTGTGGACGTTGCACGCGGAAGGCGGGCTCCCCAAGCAGGTAACGCAGGCATTGGCGCGCTTGGCCGCGCAGTCAAAGCCACAGCACGTCTTGCGCGGCGCCGCCACGTCTGCCGAGCAAGCCAGGGCCTACGACGCCGCGGTCGAACACTTCTGGGCTCGACTGCTCGGCGAAACCGGCAGTTTCGACGCCTTCCGCAGGGTGCAGCTACACCTGCCATTGCGTCACGGCGGCCTCAGCGCTGGCGGGGTGGAGGTGCGTGCCGATGCTGCCTTCCTTGCCGGCACTCTCGGGGGCCTTGAGCGAGGTGATGAGCACGGTTGGGGTTAACACCGTCGCGGAGCTCCGGCACGTGCTTCCGCAGCACGTGGAGGGCATGAACAGCGCGGTGACCAGCCTGGAGCAGAAGGGGGCGCGGGAGCAGACATGCCTGTGGCAAAGCGACCAGCCGCAACCCGTCAAGGGTATGCAGCGAGTCTGGACTCGAGCAGTCCAGCGCAACCTGCACGATCAGCTCCTGGGGTCGGCCACGCAACGCCAGGCAGCGGCTATCAGATCTGCCTCCACTCCGGAGGCCAGCCGCTTCTTGGACCCGCCGGGGGCCGCCTCCGACAAGATGACGGACGCGACCTTTCAGGCAGCTGCCCGCCGCCGCTTGGGCCTGCGACCCGTGCCGCGTGGACCACACGACGCTACCCACTGCCAGAACCGGCGGCCGGATGGGACTAAGTGCGACGTGGAGTTGGACGACGAGGGCCACCACGCCAGCATCTGTGAGATCGGTGGTGCGCTCGTGCGCCGGCACGATGGCAGCCGTGACCTCGTTGCAGCCCGGCTTGTCGCTGACGTGCACGCCCCAGTTCGCACAGAGCAGCGGTGCCCCCACTTTGACAAGCTCAAGCCGGACGGCACGATGTCCGAGGCACGCTTAGACATCGCTGTCGAGCTGGAGGGTACCACGTTCTTCCTCGACGTCGCTATCGTCGACGTGTTGAGCACGGACTCGGCACTGGAACGGCAGCGTGCGTCTCGAGACGGCGCCGCTGCATGCCGCATGGAGGACGAGAGGCGAACGAAGTACCCCGGTGCCAACGTCGTGCCCCTCGCGATTGAGAGCCACGGGCGAATCAACGCCAGCGGCATGGCATGGTTGCGCCGGGCGTACCGGGACAAGCCGGAGCTGCTCCAGAGCTTGCTCCGCGCTTTGAGCGTCCATGTGCAAAGCCACACGGGCGCCATGATCATAGCGGCCAGCACTGGCCAGCACGGCGCGCCCGGCAGCGGGCCGACCAGGCGCAGGCCGACACGCCACGCTGGTCCACCTCCCGCGGGGCCCCAGCACCAGCAGGAACCCCAAGACAGGGGGTCGGGCTGAGCTGCCCGCGCACGGCTTCCCCCTGGGGGGCACACGCCCTGGGGTGGTAGGGGACTGCCCCTTTCCCCTCTCCCCTCCCCTCTCTTCTCCGTGTCCCTCCTTTCCTCTCCTCCTGCCCTCGCCCCCTTCTCTCTCCTCCCTCCCCCTCCCCCGTCGCTGTCGTCGTCGTCGCCGTCGTCGTTCCGCCTCGTCGCCGCTGCGGCGGTCCCCGCGGTCGGCGTCCTCGGCGTCGTCGTCGCGGTCGCCTCGTCGCTCTGCCGCCGCCGTCGTCGTCGTCGCCGCCGTCGCCGGCGGCGCCTGGGGGCAGTCCCTTGCTTTCCCACGGGTTTGCGCCCCCCCCGCGGGGGTGGCGTTTGCGGCAGCGGCCCCTGCAGTCCCGGTGCGGACTCTCGGCCGACACGCCTAGCCCCAGTGGCCATGCGTCCCAAAGTGGGACACATGCCGGGGTTGCGGATCCAACTGGAGGAGGAGGAGGAGGAGGAGGAGGAGGAGGAGGAGGAGGAATAGGAGGAGGAGGGAGAGGAGAGGAGAGGAGGAGGAGGAGGAGGAGGAGGAGGAGGGGAGGAGGAGGAGGAGCTTTCTGTCCTCTCCAATCCACCCCGGCTGTACCCGACAGGCAGTGCCGCTCCTTGCCTCGCTGCACCAGTCCGTGCTCAAGGGACCGGCCGGCGGCAACTCGCGGGAGCCACGCCGCGTCTGCATCTTCGGCTGGGCGCAGGACCGGCCCCCAGAGTGCTCGCGTCCCTCTTCCCTCCTCCCTCCATCTTCCATCCTCCATCATCCATCCTCCATCCTCCATCCTCCCCCTCCCTCCGCCTCCTCCTCCTCCTCCCCCTCCTCCTCCTCCTCGTCCTCCTCCTCCTCCTCCTCCTCCTTCTCCTCCTCCTCCTCCTCCATAGCTCCTCCCTGTCGCACACCGAGGCCAGTTTTTGGGGCGGACCGGGCATTTCGCCTGAAGTCTAGAAAGTAACAGCAGTTTCACAGATGAAGAGCGGGTCGTTTTCAAAATGTTGCTCTCGCTTTAGCGCCCCGCACATTAGTTTTAAAAGTGACAACCGTTTCACGGATTGAGGGTGGGTGGTTTTCAAAATGTGGCTCTCGCGTTAGCGCCGCGCACATTCGCTTTCAAAATTTAAAAGGGTTTCACGGATTGAGTGCGGGTGGTTTTCAACATGTGGCCCTCGGCTTAGCGCCGCGCACAGTCGTTCTAAACATTTGCAAGAGTTTCACGGATTGAGGGCGGGTCGTTTTCAATATGTGGTTTTCGCTTCAGCGCCGCGCACATTCGTTTAAACAAATTGCAAGAGTGTCACGGATGGGGGGCGGGTGGTTTTCAACATGTGGTTCTCGCCTTAGCGCCGCGCACACTCTTTTTAAACATCTGAGCACCGTACCTGAACATGCGTTTTGGAGCGATTTAGGATTATGCGGGCGCAACAGTTATGTTGATTCGCTATGTTGAAGTCCCAAAAATGGCATTATAACGCGATTTTGGGTCGTCAAGACGCAGCAGTCAGGTTGATACGTGGCGTTGAAATCCCGAGAACAATGGTTTGGCACGCTCCAGGATCTTCAAACGGTTGCCTTCCAGCGAAGCAGGTCCCTCTATGGAAATGAACCGTTGTAGCGGCCTACGAAGAGGGAGCTTGGAGCGAGGGTGAATTCCAACGTCGTTGATGACTCTTGGGTTTCCACTGGTCCTCCTCCTCCTCCGCGAGAATCTAGGCCTTCTAGATGGGGTCCGGGTGCCCAGAGCCAATCGAGTCGTGCCCAAACCACGGCGGGAGGTCTTCGCTATTCTCGGCCTCCGGGGGCCCTGTTTGGCCCCTGGGAGCGTCAGAAAACAATCATGACAAATCATGAAGCCGGGGGTCTGGGTAGATAGGGTCAGAGGATCGCGCCGCATGGTCGACGCGTCGCCGATGCGGCTCGATGTGGAGCCCACTTCCGTGCGCGTCGCGAGCCGCTCTCGTTTTTCTCTCCCCCCCCTTTTGCGCGCCGGCCAGTTCGCCGTTCGGGTTGCCCCGAGTAGCCACACGCTGGAGCTGGCTGCCTCGGCCTCGCCGCCGAGGATAACAGCTCGCGCCGCGAGAGCACGACGAGAGGGAGGTTCTTGTCCGCGGTCGGCCTCCGGGGACCCTCGCTGTGCTCCGAGGGCGTCAGGCAACAACGCTCGGGGCGAGAACTGCTTTGTTTTAACATACCAGGATGATGTTCTAGGAACATCGTTTTGTTTTTGGATTGCTGTGGGGTTCGAAGAACATGTCGTGGTGGGCCTATAGGAATGCCAAGACGGTCGGTCCCTGCTCAAGATTTGGTACCGATGCCGTTGCCCTTGCCTCGTGTTCACTTTTTCGGGCCTCATGGGGCGGCCCTCGTCACCACGGCTGGATTCGCTTCCAAATCTTGGCCAGAGCTAATCCCAGGAGAGGCACAGACTCGATCGCGGCATTTTTCCAGTGTTGGGCCCAGGGGCAATCAAACATGGATCCAGGACGCAAAACTACTGATACTCTTGGTGAGATCTGGCTTTTCCTAGCCTGTGGGTTAGAAATGCTCTAAGTGGCTCCGCCCACTTAGCGGAGTTAGTGAACTTGGTCAAGCCACCTTAGATCATTTGTAGTTCATTGATCAGTTTGTTCTATAGCCCACCACATAACCTTAGAAGCCTCCGCGGTGCTTCCAGCAGGGATGCGGTCTTGACTTGTGTGGTCGCGGATTGGCAAGAAAACACGTCTGGACTTGTTTGCTTAGTTCAAATATTCGCACAACACATATGATGCTGCACGTGCGCAAATCCCGCCCTTGCCTGTTCCAGCATCGAGCATTCCACCCGACTGCCCGTGCAGCGCATACATTTCCCTCCGGACTGCGGGCCGCAGCCACTGACCCAGACTGAGGGGGAAACCGGCCTCAGTCTCAGCGCGGGTACGTGCGCTTCTGCATGCGCGGCCTCTTGTGCCAACCGGGCGGGGTTGGGTCTGGAATAATCCGTTCCCAGCATTCCGGAATGCTCTCAGAGCGTTCTGAAGCGCTCAGGAACGGCCGCGGCCACTCATACATCCACCCCAGCCGCCGGATCTCAGAGGTCCTCGATTTGTCCCGTCCCGATCTTGCCCCAGCCCTGGCTTCGTCTAGGGGGCAAGCGGCTGCGGTGGGGCGGCGCGGCCGCTGTTGCTGTACGTGCCCTCCCGGCTGCGCTCACCATGTGCCTGCAGGTGATGCTGTCCACGCCCTCCCAGTCTGGATTCCGGGGCTGGATCTTTGGGCGTCGCGTAATGGTGGGCAATCGACGGGGGGGCAGCGAGGGCTGCAGAAGAGGAGCCCTTTAGGGCCCCTGAAGGTGCCCTGGAGAGTCCAAGAGGGGGCCTTTCGGGCCCGAGAAATGCACCTTTCTCCCCCCCCCAATTTGTGAGGCGTTTCAAAAATTACCTTGGATCGAAGGAGTTGTCATCTCTTCTTCGGTGGAAGGTCGGCGGAAGCAAAACGAGGCCGCCTCCCCCGGCGGAAGCCAGCGCAAGGTCGGCGGAGGGCGGCGGGGGTGAAAAAAGCGCCCCCAAGACGCGGCAACATTTTCGGGTGCAGGGTTTCCGGAGTTGGCCATGTCTCGGCTCGCCCCCCCCCCCCCGCCCGTAATCGGAGGTTGATCGACCTCCTACCCTGACACGTCGATTAGCGAATTGGCCGTTTTCGCTTCGCGAGAGGGCGTCGCGGCCGTCGGGTCCAGGTCCGTCGGTTTCGGTCCTAGGCCGTTTTCACTAAAGGATGGTTTGCCAAAGGGAGGTTTGTCCACCCCCCGACGAGCGACGCCCAGCGATCCCGTGCACGCGGTGTCGCGCGGGAGGGGGCCGCGCGGGGCTCCCGCGCACAGACGCGCCCCCGCAGGAAGGTCGCGGCCCAGCAGCTCGGCCCGCCGTGGGTCGGGGTCTCGAGCGCGCGCCGCCACTCTTAGTATCGTTTGGCCGATCCCCATCCCCATCTCCATCCCTTTCGAGACCCCCACCAAATCATACCACCCCAGCTGGGGACGCACCCCTCGAAGCCCGAAGGGAACGGCCCATATCCCCATCTAGGGGGGGTGAATCGGCCAGTCCGGCCCAGGCCACGCCGCTGCCGATGGGGATCGGTTAAACTCTAGGCCGCCTAGATGGGGCCAGAATAGATGGGGTCGGAGGGTCGCACAGCATCGCCGATGCATCGGCGATGCATCGGCGATGCGGCTCGATGTGGGACCCAATGTTCTCCACGCCGACGTCGCCGATGCACTGCCGACGTCGCCAGTGCATGGCCGATGCATGGCCGATGCATTCGGGATTGCACCGCCGATGCATCAGCGATGCGGCGAGACCCTCCGACCCCGCCCATACTCGGACCCCGTCTGTATAGGAGGCCCCTATAGACGCTACTCGCTCTCCGGCCGACCGAGGTCGAGCGGGGATGCTGCGGTCGGCGCTCCGGGGGAGCGCGCCGGCTCCGGCCAGGGCCGGGGCCCCACAGAGGCCTCGCGGCGCCCTCCTCGCGGCCCTGCGAGCAGTGCCGGCGTCGAGGGTCCTGTGCCCGCGGGCAGGCGTGTCCCACCATGGGCTGGGCCCCGCCAGTGTGCGTATGGCCCAGGACGGGGTCCAGCTGAGAGGGGGTGGTGCAATAGTGCTGGTGGCGTCGATCTCTGGGTTTGCAATCGATCTGGGGCGTGCAGTACACTCCGTGGCGCAGATGTCTTGCTGGGTTTTCGCGTGCAACACGTGAGTTGCAACACGATGCGGTGCAGTGATCTGGTGCAGTACGTATGCAATAGCATTGCCCAAAACCTGTTGCACCACACCCTTTCAGCTGGAACCCCCTTTTGGGTCAACCAAAACTCGACGCTCTCGGGCAGCCGTCTCCGCCTCGGCTACGGCCTCGCGGTCAGTCGGTGCGGCCGGGTCCCCGCGGGTGTTTCTTTCGTGGACTCAGCGTGGACACTCTAGGCCTCCTAGATAGGGTCCGGATAGATGGGGTCGGAGGAGCGCGCCGCATCGCCGATGCATCGCCGATGCGGCTCGATGTGGAGCCCGATGTGCTTCACGCCAACGTCGCAGATACATCGCCGACGCCGACGATGCATCACCGGTGCATCGCCGATGCATCACCGATGCATCGGCGATGCGGCGCGATCTTCCGACCCTATCTACTCCGACCCCATCTAGGAGGCATCTAGACATGTGGGCGACGCAAAAACTTCGAGAGGATGCTGTTGTAGATTAAGCCACTGGCCAGTCGTTGCCGCGAATAGCCACGGAGTGCACGGGCGACTGGAGAAAATAAAATCACTCGTCGCTCATGGGCGCTGCTGCGTGCACGGCCTCTTGTGGAGGCCTCGGGGCAAGCGGCCACAGAGGGGAAGTGCCGCTGCTGCTGCTGCTGCTGCTGCTGCTGCTGCTGTGCGTGCCACCCCGCCTGCACTCAACAGAAAGGCATGGGCCTGCAGTTGCTGCCGCCGCCGCGGGCGGCTGGCGCGCCGCAGGAGGGCCGCAAGTGGGAGCGCAGCGGCTTCCACGAGTGCCTCGAGTACGAGCCGCCGAAGGTGCGGGCGGGACGGAAGGGTGGGATAGGGAAAGGATCGGGCGGGTGGTCATGGGGGTGACCCAGATGGGGGATGAAGAAAAGAACCCTCGAGGGGCCCTCTGGGGCCCCTTTTGGAGCCAGCTGGTGCAGAAAAGGTCCGTAAAAGGGCCCTTGAGGGCTTTTTCTTCGCCCCTCACTTCACTTGGGTCACCCCCCCCCATTATCACCCGCCCGAAAGGAGGGGGTACGAAATCTCCGGCATGCAGCTGGTTTCCGCCCCGCCGCCGGGCCCAGTCCTCGATCCGTGGGCGCATTCCGGCGCCTGGAGGCGCCAGGAAAATCAGCTGCGTGAGCTGTTCCTTACCCTGGCCATTATTAACCTACCCTTTCGTCACCGCCGAAAGGTGCGGGCAGAGTTCTTCGGCCGCACGATGTTGCAGGAGCACCGGGGATCTCGTCGACGTCGTCATCGTCGTCGTCGTCGTCGTCGTCGTCGTTGTCGTCGCTGATGTCGACGTCCACGTCCACGTCCACGTCCACCACGGCGTCGACGTCCACGCCGTCGACGATCGGCGCGGCCGCCGCCGCCGTGGATCTCCGCGGCACCGCTGGGGGCCCCGCGCCCGTGGGCGCCATGCGGCGGCGGCGGCCTCGGCGGCGGGTCCTGGTCGCAGAGGCCCGCGAGGGCCAGCGAGGGCCCTCCTTGGCCGCAGTCTGGGCGTGGGAGGCGCGAGGTGCGTAACATATCCAGGGGAAGGTGGCTTATGTATGGCCTGACATTGCTTATGAGTGGGTAGTGGCCTAGTTTATTCCTCTCGCTTCGCGGGGTGCACGTCCGGAGCACGCACAGTCACGTCGTCGCGGGGCCTCTTGGGAGCCTCTTGGGGGCCTCCTGGAGGCCTCCTGGGAGTTTCTTTGGGCCTCTTGGGGACCTCTTTGGGCCTTTCGCCCTTCCTTCCTTTTCATACACCCTTCCCATCTTCCCTTCCAACGCCGGCTCTAATCATGGGCGCCGCAGTGACCAACTTCCATCTGGCTGGCGCTGCGCCGCAGTTCGCCGAGAGGGGGGACAATAACATTACACTCCAGTCGCTGTGTGGCCTTTGGGGGGCTTGTTGGGGGCCTTTTGGAGGCTTCTGGGGTACTTCTTGGAGGCCTCTTGGGGCCTCATGGGGGCGTCTTGGGCCGTCTTGGGGTGCTTTTGTGCCGTTTCGCCCCCTCGGACTCGGAGGCTGTCTTGGGGGCCTCTCGCGGCCGCATTGGAGCCCTCTTGGGGTCCTCTTGGGCCGTCTTCGCGGCCTCTTGGACCGTCTTGGGGGCCTTTTTGGGCAGTTTGGGGGCCCCCTTGGGCCGTCTTGGGGCCCTCTTGGGGGCTTTTTGGGTTGTTCTGGGGCGATTATGGAAGCTGCTTGGGCCGTCATGGATTTTTGAAAGTCGAAAACAGCGAGAACGCTAAGATATTGTTAAAACCATGAGAAAATCAATGATTTCGGCTTCTGGAGGCGCAGTTATGGGCGCTCTTGGGGCCCTCTTGGGCCGTCCTTGGGGCGTTGGGGGCCCTTTTGAGGCCGTCTTGGGGTCTTCATGGGCCCCCGTTGGGTATATCTTGGGCCGTCTTGGGGCCGTCTTGGGCCGTCTTGGGGCCATCTTGGGCCATCTTGAGGCCCTCTTGGAGACCCAAGAGGCCGAAGAGGCAGAATTTGCTGATTTGTCATATGTTTTTGTAGGTTTTTAGGGCCCCAGAAAGGGGCGATCAGTTTGGTACGGCGCTGTGGCGCGGCTCCCAAGGGGGGGTAAGGGGGGGAGACATAATAATGTATCACGATACGATATGTTGCAATTGTGGAATCTTTGGGTACATTGGATACGTGACATTAGTGCGTTCGCCGAAAAACGTTGCCGCTCAGCACGTCACCTCCGGACGTGCATTCCTCTCGCTTCGCGGGGTGCACGTCCGGAGCACGTACAGTCACGTCGTCGCGGGGCCTCTTGGGAGCCTCTTGGGGGCCTCCTGGAGGCCTCCTGGGGGTTTCTTTTGGCCTCTTGGGGACTTATTTGGGGCCTTTCCCCCCTCCTTCCTTTTTCATACGCCCTCCCCATATTTCCTTCCAGCGCCGGCTCTAATCGTGGGCGCCGCAGTGACCAACTTCCATCTGGCTGGCGCTGCGCCGAAGTTCGCCCAGAGGGGGGACAATAACATTACACTCCAGTCGCTGTGTGGTCTTTGGGGGGTTTGTTGGGGGCCTTTGGGGGGTTCCTGGGGTACTTCTTGGAGGTTTCTTGGGGGCCTCTTGGGGCCTCATGGGGGCGTCTTGGGCCGTCTTGGGGCGTTTTTGCGCCCTTTCGCCCCCTCGGAGGCTGTCTTGGGGGCCTCTCGCGGCCGCATTGGAGCCCTCTTGGGGTCCTCTTGGGCCGTCTTCGCGGCCTCTTGGACAAGGGGGCCTCTTTGGGCCGTTTTGGAGCCCTTTCTGGGCCGTCTTGGGGCCCCCTTGGGGGCTTTGTGGGTTGTTTTGGGGCGATTCTGGAAGCTGCTTGGGCCGTCATGGATTTTTGAAAGCCGAAAAAGATGAGAACGCTAACAGATTGCAAAAAGCCATCGGCAAATCAATGATTTCGGCCTGGAGGCGCAGTTATGGGCGCTCTTGGGGCCCTCTTGGGCCGTCCTTGGGGCTTTGGGGGCCCTCTTGGGGCCGTCTTGGGGGCATCATGGGCCTCCGTTGGGGATATCTCGGGCTGTCTTGGGACCGTTCTGGGCCGCGTTGTTGCCATCTTGGGCCATTTTGAGGCCCTTTTGGAGTCCCAAGAGGCCGAAGAGGCCGAATTTGCTGATTTGTCATATGTTGTTGTAGGTTTTTAGGGCCCCAAAAGGGGGCGATCAGTTTGGTACGGCGCTGTTCCCAGGGGGGGTAAGGGGGGGAGACATAATAATGTAACACAACACAATATGTTGCAATTGTGGAATCTTTGGGTACATCGGATACGTTGCATTAAAGCGTTCGCCGAAAAACGCTGCCGCTCAGCACGTCACCTCCGGACGTGGATTCCTCTCGCTTCGCGGGATGCACGTCCGGAGCACGTACAGTCACGTCGTCGCGGGGCCTCTTGGGAGCCTCTTGGGGGCCTCCTGGAGGCCTCCTGGGAGATTCTTTTGGCCTCTTGGGGGCTTCTTTGGGGCCTCTTACCTCTCCCTCCTTTTCATACTCCCTCCCCATATTTCCTTCCAGCGCCGGCTCTAATCATGGGCGCCGCTATGACCAACTTCCACCTGGCTGGCGCTGCGCCGCAGTTCGCCCAGGTTGGAAAAATGACATTACACTCCTGTCGCTGTGTGGTCTTTGGGGGGTTTCTTTGGAGCCTTTGGGATGCTTTTCGAGGACATCTTGGAGGCCTCTTGGGGGCTTTTTGGGGCCCCTTGGGGGCCTCTTGGGGTCCTCTTGGGGCCTCTTGGGGGCGTCTTTGGCCGTATTGGGGCGCTTTTGCGCCGTTTCGCCCCTTCGGAGCCGGGCTCTGGCGACAAGGCAGACCCGAACAATTGGGGGCCCATCGCAGTGCTGGACGTCACGTGCAAGGTTTTCTCAAAGATGCTGAACAACAGGCTGAAGCCCATTTTGGACAGCGAGCAGCCCTCCGAACAAATGGGTTTTAGATCTAAGACGGGCGTTGATCATGCCCTCATGGTGCTGGAGTGCGTCATAGGTCAGTCTATCGAGTGGAACGTGCCGGTCTGGATCGTCAGCATCGATCTGAAGAAGGCTTTCGACCGGGTCTGCTACAGCTCGCTGTTTGACGCGTTGCGGGAGCAAGAGGTCGACGAGTCCTACCTCGCGCTGCTGGCGCGGCTGTATTCTGGGCGGTGCGGCAACGTCGGTGGACAGGCTTCGTTGCCTATCTGCCGGGGTGTGCGGCAAGGAGATATACTCAGTCTTGCCCTGTTCAACGCCGCGTTGGAATCTGTATTGCGGCGGTGGAAAACGAGGATGGGGAGCTGCCGCCTGCTTTTGGACAGCACCCACGAAAGGCTCGCGAACATCAGGTACGCTGACGATTTGCTGCTGTTCGGGAAGACTTTCAATGAAGCCGTATCAACGTTTGAGGCTCTATCGGAAGAGCTCGCCAGGGCAGGCCTCTCTATCAATGGCTCCAAAACGAAGATGCTGACAACGGATTCGGAGTCTTCAGACAGCGATGTTCCGCTTCTGGCTGATGCTGGAGACTGCGTGGTTGAGATCTTGCGAGGCGAGGCGACGCACAAGTATCTGGGACGTATGTTGTCTCGAGACTTACGGCGGAGAGGGCAGTGTAATCTGAACAACCGTTTGGCTTGCGGCTGGATGAAGTTCCACAATTTAGCACCGACCTTGCTGAACCGGAAGATTCCTGTTCTGTTGCGCCTCAAGCTCTTTCACAGCGTCGTTACCCCTGCTGTCTGCTACAGCTTGTCGACGACACCGCTGACTTCGGAATAGATTGGCAAGCTGGATGTCGTTCAAAGAAAGACGCTGAGACAAATCGTTAAATGGGTTCGTTTTGACAACAAAGATTGGGAGACCACAGGACATCGCATGAAAGCAAGATTAGAGGCCGCGCTCCAGCGGCACCCCGTGCTGGAGTGGAGCCGCGTGAGGGAGCTCGCCAGAGACAGGCTGCTTCGCACTGTGGAAACCGGAACAGCGCCGCTAGGAGCGCAGCTGGCCGCCAGCTGGGCTCCGGCGCAAGTTTGCGATCACCTCCCACAACACACTCCGCATAGACGGCGGGGAAGGCCGAGACAGAGATGGACTGACTGATCTCCGATGCTGCCGCTGGCGTCCCCTTCCCCTCCTCCCCTCCCCTCTTTTCTCCCCTCCCTCCCTTCCCTCTCTCCCCCAGGCGTGGCTGCGCCGGCGTAGTCTGGCCAGACGAACAACAGATGCTACTGCCACGATGTTTTCCAAATTTTCCGGTGGCAATCCTAAGGAATGTCGCTGTGAACGCTCATCCCCGTGTTCTGAATCAGGACCGGCCTTTGGGCCGATCGGGCGTTGCGTTGCGTTGCCCCTTCGGAGGCCGTATTGGGGGCCTCCTCGCGGCCGCCTCGGGGCCGTCTTGGGGTCCTCTTGGGCCGTCACAGGGGCTTCCTGGACCGTCTTGGGGGCCTCTTTGGGCCGTCTTGGGGTTCTGTTGGGCCGTATTGGGGCCCTCTTGGGGGCTTCCTGGGTTGTTGTGGAGCGATTAGGGACGCTGCTTGGGCCGCAAAAGCGAGAACGCTAAACTATCACCAAACCAACGGGAAATCAATGAGTTCAGTTTCTGGAGGCGCAGTTGTGGGCGCTGTGGGGCCCCTTTGGGCCGTCATTGGAGTTTTTTGGGCCCTCTTGGGGCCGTCTTGGACCGTCTCGGGGCCGTTTTCGCCCGCGCAGAGCCCATCTTGAGCCGTCTTGGCGCCCTCTTGGCCCCCAAA